CTATCCATAAAATACTACAATTAATGAAATAATTCCTTATCGGGATGGAGCTCGACGCAAATGCTTTGCATTTTCACAGAGGAGAGGGACCGACTAGAAGGTTCTCCAATTTCAGGATTTGTAGTACGAAGGGAAAACTGGTGCAAAAATTACTCTCTAACTCCGAGAATAGCAGAACAACAAAAACTTGGCAATTTCCATGTTCTTGCTTTGTATCACTATCCTATGACGCAATACAAGGCAATATTGCTTCGATGTTTTGAGCGATAACGATGTGAAATTCTCAGTGTCCCGTTGACCATAAAGGCAGCACCTTGCGGCACCTTCGATGTTGGCGAGGGTGAGGAAAAGTATTCACACGGTTCGCCATTCCCGTTTCGCAGATGTTTTTATTAGGTTCAATCCCTTAGAACAGAACGCCTAGAATGGAAATGAAGCTACCGAAAGATCGCTTTCCATTCCATTTGCTTCTAATTTAACGGTCAGTTTTATTTTTGTCAGGCGTTTGCTCCATAAAAAAAATGGAAAAATGATTGAATTACCTTCTTGCGAATATTATTGGAGGCGAATACGTGGTAGTCATACTTTGAGCTTCTTTGAAATTTTAACCAACGACGTTACGGTAGAATCTAGGGCGGAAAAATGTTCATATAACAATTTTCATGATTTATTCGGATAGTTTTTGCTACTTTGCTTATGACTGTGGCCTGTTTTGGGACAAATGGCAAACATAATTGGATGTTATTCCTTCAACACATGCCTTGGTGGGGGTCCATTCCCATGAGAATTTGCCTGCATAGCCCCCGAACGGCGCAGCATAGCACCACCAAACTTGGCGTGGCTGTAGGTAGTCCAATACATGATAAAATATCAAAGTAAAATACCCCTATTAAGGCCGCTGACCTGAAGCAGCCCAAAATCAGGCCATGGTTGCTAGCGGAAGAACTCCTGAGTGAATATTTGAAGCTGACAAAACAACAGAGCGATAGACGATGCCATACGGCTTTGGAATGATTTCCTAGACCATTGGAATCAGACTTGCAACTAACTCCATTGACATTGGGCGAAGCATGAGGGTCAAAGCGAGGTAAAAGCAAAACGTCTTTTAAATGGAAAACTTGCCTGAAAAGGTAGTCTTTAAGCTCATTTTGGAATTTTTTGGTCAGAAGAACGTCAACATATTTCTTAATTTGACGTCAAAAAGGCCAGGAGCGGTCTGTGACCTGAATTAACCTCCATTTATGCCATCGTTGTGGAATATGACCCCTAGTGAAGTTTCAGACACTAAGTTTAAAATAAAAGTATCACTATAATTATGAAGGTTTTTGGTCATTTCAGCTCTAAAATGCCAAATAAAGTCATTTATCTGGTTAATCCCCCCCATGATCTTAGAAAATATATAATGTTTAAAGCTGGCTACGTGAGGAGGCCTGGGGTACTTGAGACAGCGATCTCCTGTTTTAAATGTTTGAAATTATTTGACACAAAGGCTACAATCTAGACACCTAAAAAATTTACGAAATTCTAGTTTTTGATATCTCAAGGGAGGTCAAATGGATCCTCCGCATCCAAGCGTGCTGTATTTAACTGACAACCGGGACGCGCGTTTAAAGTTCTGGAACAGTTAGTGCGTGATGTTTTTTGTAGAGAATAAAGTAATTTAAGCTGACAAAGTAGGTGTATCTCTGAGGTCAAAGAAAAACATAGGTAAACATTTGGAAGTATATCTATGGTAGATCTGGATGCCCTCCATATCCCGTCCTGGAGACCACTGGACCATCATCATCTACGGCAATTGCTGAACATGAACATCGATGCATTGCTTATCAGCTTCTTTCCTCAGTTAGTGTTTGCTTAGATGTGGCTTGAGCGCGAACCGAATTCTGCCAACTTCGGGTAAGAGAGCGTATTGTCACTCTGTTTGCGGGGAGGTTGTCGGCGGAACCGCAGGCCAGGCCCGACCGCTCTCAGCCAGACGTTACAAAAACACCCCCCACGACGAAGCAGCTTCGCAAACTTCTAAAAATTAAAACCTTTTGATCGGGTGGATTTCTAGCATTAGCGCTCACGCTCAACAGTGCTGGCTGGGTGAGACCAAACCTCACAATCCGGTCGTGGAATTCCTAGTCAACGGCAGCATTTTACGGCGAAAGTTGAACGTGCCGCAATACATGGCAGCGTCCGGCTGTACTCTGACATTATCTGGACATTATTACAGCTGGCAGCGTTTATCTCAATGCGACATTTAAGTAAAATAGTTTTCATAAATACGCGCCCGGTGGCTGGGTGAACACAACGCCCACGGATGGGGCGCAAGAGGGGGCAATTTGACCCCCAATGAGATGTCAAAACATAAGGAAGGTAGACATACTAAATTCACGAGGTAGAAGGTTCTGTATAGGAGCTCACTTGTGTCAAATTTTGAAGTCCCTAGGTCATGATCTTAATGTCAAAAAAGGTCAAACAATTTGAAGCTCTAGGTCTGTGTCCAAGTGCCCTCAGAGTATTTGGCCTGTGGGTCCCTGCGGAAGGTCACGGTGAAGAAAAACCACATGCGATTTTTAAGATATTTAGAATTTAAGTAAGCGTCGAGGATTACACTGGGTGGTATGCTCCTGAAAAGAAAGGGTTAACCCGGGTCATTTAAGGTCAGTGGTCTTCCCTGACCATGAAGTTTAGGGAAGACGCCGTCTGATGTCCTCGTGAAAGAATTTTTTTTAAACAAACTTAAAAGTTACCCCAAAAGTAGGCTCTTCGGTAAAAAAGCAGGCAGGTTTTAATCCCGGTCTAACCTTCATACGTGACCCAAGGTCAATCAAAACAGTTGCAATTATAAATTTAATTGCCTAATTGGCTAAGAAACCATCTTAAATTTGCATGACTTCGTGCAACACTCCCCTGACGCATCCAATTGAACGATTCCCTGGAGATACCTTTCCCGACAGCCATGGCCTAACTTTGAGCTAGCACAGGGCAGTGACCATATAATGCAATCTGATATTTAGGTAAACAGAATGGCTAGGAAATAGCCAACAGCAAGTGCAAAGTTTTGGCACGGCTAGACGTGCCGTTTTATCTTATTCTGGAAAAACCTACGTAGATCAAATTGACTTCCCCATCTGACGGCGTAATAAACCGATTATAGTATTTAAAAAGCGCTAGAAATGACTGTTGTCATGAATATTGGTAAATACGTTTAATGAAAATCTATAAAAACCGGGTTATGCAACTTATCCGAAGGTGATAACCAACTTTATTGTCTTTAAGTGCCCAAAACATTTAGCATCCATATATTTATGTCATAATGTATCGGATGTATCGCTCTCAACATTTTACAAACATACTCAAAATGACGTCATCTGATCAGTACACATCGTTTGCGCCATCATCTTTTTTACATTTTACAAACATACTCACAATGACGTCAACTGATCAGTATGCATCATTTGCGCGATCATGTACAACTGAATTTCAACATGTTTGTTTTGTTAGTTAACGTTCTGTGGTAAAACAGACACAAAATTGCTGTGGCTTAGTACCTCATCAGTTTTTTTAGTTTTTATCAGTTTTGGTAACTTATCCTTGCCAAAAACCGTAGCGCCAAAGAGGAAACACGCCCTTTTATGAGGCGATAGAGACCATAGCAGTCACGTTTGCACCCCGTGGGTCATAGGGCAGCCGGAGTTTGAGCCCGCGCATCAACACCGAAGAAGAGGGTTCTGACCGCGCGGCTGCTGCTCCCACCCTCATTAATGGCGTGCAATGAATAATCGTTTACTTCCATTTGTACTTGGTTTTGTTAAATAATTGTCATAAGTTGTTTCGCATGCATTCTTTAAAATTCGTGCTTCTTACCGCCGTCGGAATGGTGCAGTAATTCAATTATTTTTTTCCATTTGATACTTGTTGTCCAAACCCGCCCCTGGATGTCATCGCATGGTCTGGAGATGTTAGATAAGGCATGCACTGGAATGTTATGCTTCAGGTTACACATGTTTTACTTTTTCTTAACCCTCACCGTAAGATAGGAGGGATAGTAGTGGGCCCAAATTTTCTGAAATAACTTATGAACGGCTTTGTGCACGGTGTTGAAATTTTGGTTGCCTGAATCTACATTAGTATTGCACATGTTGTTGGGATTTGACGCTTCTTAAAATACTCGGTCATGATCTCTGATCTCTTTCTCGGGGTCAAGCTGGTGACATTTTGCTCAAAAGTGACATCTAACTTTTTTTCTTGCCGGAGGTGCGCTCTAAGGGAATTTACAGGCTACTGCCTTTAGCTGCATTACTCTTACGTTCATTACTCTGATCGTTTTTGCAAGATCTAATCATTTCAGAACAAGCAAATCAAAATTTTGAAAGTGGACGAGATTCGACATTCGAAATTCATGTGATTTTAATCTTAAGGCCAGCTATCTTACAGCTTTTGAAAACCTTTTATATAGTGTTAAGCTCTTGCTACAGCTGGAGGGGCCAAATTAACAAAAACCTTCTCTATTTTGACCTGACATGGCATATCACGCGCCGCATCTGTCAATTTCCACGGGCGCCTCTGCGATCGAATTTTCTGATAGTTCCTCAACCCCGCTTTCTGCATCGCTGAAGTATGGTTAGTTCTTGAGATAACAGGGGAGCGTGCATTAGGTACTTATTTGACCTCTATGGCCTGATTTAACCCGCCAAAGGCCATATCCACCCCTGTTTTGTCACATCTTTCAAGCGCAGTTTAACAAGAGCCTTTTGATGTTGTTTTCGCTGCGACTTTACCCTGATTAGTTTTCCAAGTCTTGGGTTCTCTGCGGCCCCATGGTGGACTGGAGGTGAAAACCGGAAGAGTAGGGTTAATTCTACGATAACATTCTAGGGTTAATTCTGATATTTTTACAGGCCACACGATAAGGGTTTGCGGTAAAGCGACACGCACTTGCAAGACGCGAAGTAACATATGCCTCACTGTATCGGACAGCTACCGCCAGATAAACGGAGCAGCTAACTCACCTCAGAAAAGAGTTGTGAAAGATCTTTGGCGGTGAACTTGTTGTAGACCAGTAGATCGTACACGATGCACACCCCCATGACGGTGACGCCATGCTCCTTGGTGAACATAGCGAGCGCGGCGCACACGAAACACGCCAGCAGGGGGCGCCAGCAGCGCGGCGACGATGGCGCCGCGTGGTGCTGACCGGCAGCACTTCCGTTTCGCAGTGCCGGCCGCGGCGCGTCGCGCAAGTCGCGCTGCCGCAGGTAGGCGCTATACGAGAAGAAGCTGAGCAGGAAGAAGATGGCGGCACCGACGTCAGCCCGCCCGACCACGCCGGCCACCGCCTCCGTGTGCACTGGGTGCACGACGAACAGCAGGGAGGCGAGCACAGCGGCCGGCGAGCGCGCGCCAAACAGCCGGGCGGCCAGCTGCGCGAACAGCGCGCAGGCGACACTGTGCAGTAGCACGTTGACCAGGTGGTAGCCCCAGGGCCGCAGGCCGCCGGCCAGGTAGTTGAGCCGGAAGCTGAGTACGGTGACAGGCCGATAGGACTTGTGCGAGCCGCTGTGGCTGAGCGGCGTGCCCCAGAAGTCGTCCAGCAGCAGGCTGGTGAGAGGCGTGCTCGGCAAGATGTCAGGGTTGGTTTTGATTGCTCGACTGGAACACAGACAGGGGCGGCGGTCAGTACGGTCGCTCACCGTGCGGAAGAGGCTCACACCCAGCGTAAGCCGCACACGCGGGTCACTCCCAAATCAGTTGTAGACCGATGTATGACAAGACCAACCATACAAGACCGACCAGTCTTGTATGAAGGGAAGAGCGGAATGTTAAACAAGGCTCACTGGCAGACGTAGTGGTTGGGGGCGGACGGCGATTCCACTCCCATCCTTCAAGAAAGAAGCCCTCCCACATTTGGGGCGTTCCTTCGCCCCAGAGTTAGTCAGCACCTGAATACAAATAAATAAACGAGTGAAGCGCCGAGCGGAGATCGTATTCGTCTCGCAGAGCGTGCGCTCACAACCTGAGCCGTGACGAACGGTTGAATAATGGCCACCTGGAAGAATAAGCTGCACATCTCATGCAAATCGTAATTGGCACTATGAACCGCCTAATGTCAGAGCGGACAGCTGCTAAGTATGCCCGCCGTGCATCCTCGTTCGTCACATGAAAATCTGGAAATAATGATCGGCTCCCTGAATTAGCAGTTCTCAGAAGGTGCGGTGAAGCGGCATGGATCGCGTGTAGCGCCGTCTTAAATGGCCATAAAACGGCAATAAAATGTGCAAAATGTCTTTCACTCCCTGGTGATCAAAGCTGGGTGCATCATAAACTCAGCGTTTCCATCTGTTAAGAAACGTCTCATTTCATACTAATCATAGAGGAGTAATGACCATGTGCGCTCGGGTTCCGTTCCGTAATTCGGAATGCGTGAAGCCAATATAAGCGTCTCTTACGACCGGCAATGACATATTGCGCCCTCTGCGGCGCATTTGCCACCGAGAACGAAGGACTCCTCCTGCAGGCGTTCGCTTTCCCAACTCAAACAACCGTGATGTTGCTGCTCATTGCAAGCAAGAACAATCAATATTTTTATGGTGCACTTTGCTCAGTAAAGATCCGAGGCCATTAGCGCAGCTCTGCAACACACGTTGGTCTGCAGAGTGATCAGGGATCAAAACAATGACCGTGTTTATTGACTTGCAAACGAGCGCAAATGACAACACGACCACAGCTCGGAAGAGATCCAAGGCATCATTGAAAGAACACAATGGACAGCAGGTTAATTATCGGCTTGCTAATTTGTAGATAAGTGTTCTTTACGAGTCGCTTTATGTCTTATCTTTTCCCGCGCTGCTTACATCTATTGTACTGAACATAAACGGAAGCAGCTTTGAACAGGCACTTATTTTTCTCCTCAACGGAAATCGACAACCATGTCTTCTTTTTAAACACAATATCACTAAAAAGAGAGCATATTTAACTATGATAAAATCCTCGAATTCCAGAGCTCAATCCAATGGGGATAATGCATGCCCTGAATGAAAAAACTGGTCTATCCAGTGCAGCCATCCCATGCAAAGAAGCGGGGCGCAAACTACGTCGGCATACGGTGCCGCAGCGCCCCTTCAGACGCCCTCGAATACCCCCGCGCGTGTCCTCTCATCCCGCTGTCTCTCCACCTCTCACCCACCGCCGCTGTCGGCCAACAGAGCCACACGCGGCCGGCTGTCGCTGGAGTTGCCGGCTCCGGGAGAGCGCCGGTGGGGGCGGCGGCGGCGGCCAGCGCGCGCTGGTCCGGCCCGCTGACAGCAGCTGCAGTTATCAGATGGCCGGCTGCGCCGCGCCGCCCGGCCAGATTAAGACGCGCCGTTAAGAACATAAACGCCACGGACAATTATCGCCACCGATCGTCATTGTCGCGGCGGCTTATCGGACGCGCCGGCGGCTTATCCGGCGCGGCCGCGGCGACCGCCGCACGCCCGCGCCGTGGAACACGGAGATAAACGGCGCAGAGGGCCCACCAATTGGCCGTAATTGCCCCAGTCCGACCGACCGGTCGACGGACGCTGCCTCGGACTGGGGCCGACCAGCCCGAGTCGCACCGCCTGGCCGCTCGTGTAGGATTCGATCACCAAGTGTAGCGCGGCGACCAAAAATAAAGGGCTCGAGTTCTGCTGTGGTTGAGTGTGGGTAGATGACATTTCGTTTGCTGACAACTCGTGGCTTTCCAGCAACATTTCTGGACAATTTTAGGCCATGGTGTTCCAAGAACAGGCATGTGAACCATCGCCACGGAGCGTCATTGTTGCGGTGGCTTGTGCGGTGCGATCGGGATATATATATATATATATATATATATATATATATATATATGTGTGTGTGTGTGTGTATACATATATATATATATATATATATATATATATATATATATATATATAGATAGATAGATAGATAGATAGATAGTTAGATATAAAGATACATAGATAGATTATATGTTCAGCTAAGTTATGATGATACATATCTTAACTGGGATAGTTAAGAAAGGCTTGGTAATGTGATACAGATGGCAATCATAGTAATTGCAGTTAGATTCGTGCAATGCTGTAGAATATTGCTGGTGTGTCCTTCCTAAATCACGCATGTGCTGTTGTATTTCCCTGCTCCGGCTGTGCTGAGGGAAGTTGTGCTACCATGCCGCATGTAGATGGCAGTATGCATTGGTAAGCATGAAAACAAACTTTTTCAGGAGAGAGCTAAGAGCTCTAGTGGACTTTGACGATCTTCAGAAAAATTCAAAAGTAAGCATTCATGCGGCATACATACACATCACTTGGAACCAACTGGCTATCGTCTAGAAAAATTGTAACGCCATGGAAATAGATCGCTAAAGGAAAATAAAGTTTTTGTCATAAAGCCACTCACGTTTCATTTTTACTTCAAAACAAGTCCGTTGGGTGATAATAACCCCACCACACGCTAAGAGCCAGCCACACGCTTTACCAAAAACAAATCACAAAAAGTCGTCACGCCGCCGCTTTGCTGGTCGGGCGGGCGTGCTCGGCAGACATCGCCGGGGCCACGAGCTGACCGCGACGCCAGCTGCCCGTCGGTCACACTCGCCTCCCGCCCCGCACGTTCTCATGTGACTGTTTATTACCGCCGCCTTTCCCGCTTTTTCACGCACGGCCACAACCGCGATCCCCGGCGTTCTCACGCGGCGGCCATCTTGGTTTCTCACCGTCTCCGAGAGGCGGTAATGACAGCGGGTCGGCCTTCAGATGGTCCGCTGCAGCCCCGACCGCGGCTCGCAGCCGGAGCAGCGGCCCGCTGCTGGCAGCGGGAGAGATCCGAGACAGCGGCTCCAGAGCTTCGCGCGCGCCGGGGCGGCCACGACAGCGGCCGGAGTGTTCCAAAGAGGTCATTCTAGTGCGAGAGAAATAGGCCTAGGACAGTTGATGTGACAGAGTCACTGGAATGAGTGTCTCACAGCAAAAAAGTTAAATTTGTCTGTGGAAGCTGGTGTGGCCACATCGCACTTGTCATTTCGCAGTACACACCCATGCAAGATTACCTGATGGCGGTGTCTGGCGACCTCAATGGAAGCTATGCTGGCCTGACAGCAGGGTCGGAAGACATCGACAGAAGTCTCGATCCCCAGAAGATCCCCAGAAGTCTCGTTGGGACAGAGATCAAGAGAGGAAGGTCAACATAGGTCGGGCTGGTCTGACGAAGGGGTTCTGAACTCCCGACATAGTCCGGGCTGGCCTGGCAGTGATGTCTGAAGGCCTCGACAGAAGCCGGGCTGGCGTGCCAGCGGAGTCTGAAGACCTCGACAGAGTCCGGGCTGGCGTACTAGCGGGGTTTGAAGACCTCGACAGAAGCCGGGCTGGCGTACCAGCGGAGTCTGAAGACCTCGACAGAGACCGGGATGGCGTACCAGCTGAGTCTGAAGACCTCGACATAGTCCGGACTGGCGTACCAGCGGAGTCTGAAGACCTCGACAGAAGCCAGGCTGGCGTACCAGCGGAATATGAGGACCTCGACAGAAGCCGGGCTGGCGTGCCAGCGCAATCTGAGAACCTCGACAGAGACCGGGCTAACCTGACGGATGGATCTGAAGACCTCGACAGAGACAGGGCTGACGTGACAACAAGATCTGGAGCTTTCGACAGTGTCTGGTGTTGCGTGACGGTAGTCCGGCGAGCTCAGCGGAAGCCGAACCGTGACAATGGGGTCTGGGAACCTCGACTGTGGTAAGCCTGTCTGAGGACGAGGAAGTGGGCCGAGGAGGTGATAGCTTTTTGGCGGAGCAAAGTTAGATGTTGGATCAATGTTTCGGTCGTGCCGTCGCAGCTTTCGGCAGGCATGCAGTGGATCAGAGACTGTCGCACAAAGTAACAATGTGAGCTCACTATAGCTGCGATGCGATGGACGAAAGTAAGTTAGTGTCATACTCTGAATGTTGGGACTGGTGCTGTAACGGTAGTTAAAGGTAAGGCGTTACGGGTAAACGAGCTCAACCCAGAATAATCCTTAGCTCCCAAATAGCCCGCAAAAGAGAACTAATGCAACAAGGAAAGACGGTATTAAAAAGGCTAGCGTCACAAAACAATACTTACATCCTAAGCATTTTCGCCAGGACCTATGTGGAAGGCATCCATTCTTTTTTAAATCTCGAAGGTGTGAAGATGTAGAAAGACCTAGCAATGACGATATCAAGGATGACTGAAGGAACACTACCTGTCAATGCGCAAGTGAGGGCCGTGTCGCATTCCAGGGTCTGACAACTATCAAGCAGAGGATTTTGTTTGCATAATTACATTCATTAGTTGTTTGCCAAGAACCTATGCGCTAGCTAGCGAGCTCCCCGAGACAAAACCCCCGGTCATCAACTCGCTTTTTGCGGTATGAGCTACCTAGCGAGAAACTCGCAGAGAGCTTAGATCTACGTCAACACCAGAACGTCATGCCTTGTGAGGAAACGTTCCATATTGTATTGGCTCGAAAAATTGGCAGTCGTACTAAACAAACGAGTAGTTATCCAAAGGAGTAAACACCCATTTTGATGGCAAGGAGCCTGACATACATGGTTTTGTCTGATGCTACGAGTCTCAAAGTCATCGCTTGACAAGGACCTAAGCGTATGTAGTATGTTT